GTGTGTGTGTGTGCGTGTGTGTGTGTGTATGTGTGTGTATAGTGGAGTGGAATGACAGACTGTCTGAGTGATATATACGACGGCGTGATTTATTGCTCGAACAGCAGCAGTATCGCATCGCATCGCAACGTTGGGTCCGTATTTTCTCATTTGAAAATTGCGTTAAATTTTAATTCTCTCGTAAATAAGGAAGTGAAGTGATAGTGCTAAAGAAGAACTCACGTAGCCATTTAAATTAGATGGGTAAATAAATTTTGTGAGCGATAATCGTTTTTTGATATATATATATATGTATACATGTACATGTTTTTTTTTGCGTTGTTGCACAACAGTATTTTAACTTACATTCATACTCCTACTCTTACCCGTGACAACACCCTATCCTATCCTATTCTATTCTACCCGTATAACATCATGTCTGTGTTTACCCATACCTGTACTGTTACTTAACTGACAATTAAACGATACTTTTTAATGACCATTTATGATCAGCTTGTTAGAATGGGATATCAAAAAGGATGTGTGGTTGTCCAAGTGGTCAGTGATTGTTTTCACACTGTGATTTTATTGTTCTTTTTATTGATTTAGTTCGTTTCAAGCATGCTAGCATATTTATTCAATCGATTAGCTTAAGAAATATTCATTGTTTCAGGTCAGTGATCCTTTTCGATGAGTTGTACGGAATCTTACATCGGTTCTTCCAGTCCACCGACCACTTATCCACATTATGGTGAGTGGACATCACCCGAGAGCTATATATCCACCTCAGCAACATCTTATCCTCCAACTTCATCATATGGGCATCATTTACTGCCACCAAGTACTTCTCATTGGGTTACAAATGTTACCAATTATGCTCAAAATCAACCCACCAATAATGCTCATCCTACTGAACAATCTCATTCGGCCACTTCCACTGCTGTCACTACTGTTTCTACAGTTGCAGCTGCAGCTACAGCTGCTACGATTGCAGCAGGCACTGCAAATACGTATAAATGGATGCACATTAAACGTACTGTTGCTAAATCATCAGGTTTGCATTTTATACACTTTCTCAGCAAATTCTTTAAATATTAAATGTAGTAAGTGATCAGTGACCAAGTGGTACTATGATTTGGGACGCGACACTCATGTGCACCACGTAATCTTATTCTGGTTATATGCTAATTTTTGAACCACAACATTGCTGTTAGTTTCAAAAAGATTCAAATGAATATCACTATAGTGATGACACTTGTCCACATTTCAAAATTTCGAACCCATTTAATTATCGCTGATAGGAGAAGGAAAGAGAAAAGGGAGATATTTATAGGATAATATTTAGATGTTTAGGAATTGTTACCGAATTTAAGTTTTAGTAAGGTATGAAGGAAAAAAGATAGAGTACATATGATTTATGACAGCTATATAACTATCATCAAGTTTGCTGTTGTAAACCTATGGATGATTTGAATTCTGTTTTAGTGCCAAAACGACGTGTGGTGGAGGATACGAATGCGATACGAACCAATTTTACCACTCATCAATTAACGGAACTTGAAAAAGAATATTATACATCGAAATATTTAAATCGAACAAGGCGGGCAGAAATTGCATCTATCTTACAGCTGAATGAAACTCAAGTAATTCACTTACTCTATCCGATTCCACTAAATTACTGTATCTGACTTATCCTGTCTGTTCCACTAAATTATCAGTAGATAAATTCTTGATAGAAGAAGTGAAAGTAGTAGAACAGATGAATATAACAGATAAGAAATAAGCATATCAGTAGTAAAGATAGTTGTCTCTTGCCATCTTACCGTTCTCTATTTATTGTACAAATATTTACAATGTAAGTTACAAATGGCTGAACAAATAAACGAATTAAATAATGGAATAAATAAGCTACTTTCATTATTTTATATGCAAAAATATTTTGATTACTCTATATATCTTAAAGTAATGATAGTTATTTTTTTTAGTATTAAAATCATTTACAAATTTATTTTCAAATTATCGTTCGAGAACCAGACCAAAAATTTGAATTTGTTTAATTTGACAAAACAGCTGATATCACAAGTGATTTTCGGAACAACCAATATTTGTACATTCCAAAATTATTTTTCATCAAAAAGTCTTAATCTTGCCATGGTTTCTGCAATGTTTTAATTAAGTAATTAAAAAATATTATAGAACGAGAAAAGAAAGAGAAAGAAGGAAGGGGACCGAATACACTTCGAATAATATGAACTTTCTAATGAATTAATAGTCTAATGAATTACTAATAATCTAACAATTAATTCCAAACTATCTGCCATTTTAGTTAATCTATTTTCTACAAAATTCAGTTTTTTGATGTATATCTGCAAGAGTATTAGTTCACCTGATAGATTTGAGGACGATAAAAAAAGAGAAAGAAGGAAGGGGACCGAATACATTTCGAATAATATGAAAGGATCAGTGACTGATAATGCCGAACTCTTTTTAGCTTTACATATTATACTTGTCGAAATCTCTAACAATTTTGATTTTATTGAAAAAAAGAAAACAAATGAAAAAAATTCATAAAAAATACATCTAATAAGTAACTGAATTGATTTAATTTATTTTGATTGTCAACAATTCACTCTTTGTTAGGTAATGTTCAAAATTAACCCGATATTATTCATTGAAATAAGTTCAAAGTTATTTCTTATTTGAGGCCTTTATCAACAGTTACATATATTACTCATGATTATTCCGTTAAGTCAAGCCAAGATCTGTAATTGCTAATAGACTAATGATACTCACTCACTGATAACTGTTATCATTTCATTTAAAAATGGAATTCAAATTGATTTATCAATGTAATTCTTAAGTATGGAATCTACTGGTATATAATTTAGGCGATAAATAGCAATAAGGCCGATTAACTTGAAATCAGTCTAATTATAATAAGTCTAATCGATGCTAATAAAATTATAAAAACAGTATTTTTCTACCTAATTATACTTCTAATTAAAAAATTCCATTGTCTTTTCCAAAACTTGAAATTTCCTAAATTATTACTGAATTTTCTAACATAAATTCAAAGCCAGTGCCATTAATATCGATCCTTTCACATATGCATCAATTTTCAACCCTATTTCAAGTAAGAGAAGTGTATGCTCATTGGCTGTCAGATTTGAAGCAAATTTCCATTTTCTAGAAAAAGGCCCATGCAACGATTGACAATCCTAATATTACTGCGCCTTCATTCTTAATCTTATAAAACACTCCGGAATGAAAAAATTAGCCTATGCATGGTTGAACTTTACAGTAATATAAGTGAAACATTTTTGCTGACATAATAAGATTAACATCAGCTATAAGATTAAAAATACGGTAAGTGATAATAGTCGTGATTACATATTACATAATATCACTTTTTTTGTCTGAAATAATCTTAATATTTATCATCCAAGAACGAATTGACAATGAAAATTTCAAAAAAGAACAAGATCGAATTTCTTATTAATTTCCAGTTAAGAAATAAAATACTTAAATTTGCGAACAGTAAAATTTTGTTGAAGATTGCATTTGCATAACTAAATATTGTATTCATTGTTAAGGACGATGTGATTTACAAAAATTTTCGATGTCCAATTTTGATAACTATCCGAAAATCACTCAAAGATACTTATAACGATTAATATTATTTTATCGTAATATTTAATCCGTATAGCACATTTTTTGATAATACTATAATTTTATGTTAATTAAATCAAAAAGTTTTGAATATGAACCGTACTATTTAGTAATATTCAATTTTGATTCTAAAATATTATTCACTGATTTTTTATAATTGAAATTATCCATTCATCCGTAATTTCTATTAGAACTTAGGGCAGCAAGTATTATTAGAGATAAAATCGAAAAAAAAAATAATCAACGGATAATTGAACGAATTACTCGCTAACATAAATAATCCATTGAACTTTATTTTGTGAAAATATGAGAGAAAAGAAATGAATGCCTAAAATTGCAAACTATCATTTGAGATTTATCACTATGAAAGAAATCAAACACAAATCCTATGGGAGATAAAAAGAATTGCATAAATGAGTTACGATAAGAACAATGAAAGTTGAATAAATAAGAAGTAAATATATAAATAAATGTAAGTTTTTGTAATTACAAATAAATGATAATTGAAAAATTGAAGTAAATTTCAGGTGAAAATATGGTTTCAAAATCGCCGAATGAAAGAGAAAAAACGACAAAAAGAACAGGCCTTCCTGGCACGTGGTGGTATACCGTTAACACCATGCAAAGCACCTCCACAACAGAGAACGATCAACAGGGATGGTACCACCTGGTCCTCCGAATCATCTTCTGGTACTCCTAACGATTCCCCGAAATTAATACCACCATCTGTATGAGCCAGCTACAAATACAGGGCTGGATGACAGATCGGCTAATTAATTGCTTCTTTCAGCCGCCAACTATCCCGTAGTGTTAGTCATCTCAACATCGACCCACTTTCATCGTATGCATTGTTTTGCACCTCGAATCTTTGAGGGTCGGTTACAATTAGTTTCAGAAATTTATTTTCGAGTTTTCAGTAGTTAATTTGGAATTTTTGATTCTGTTAATCCAGTCTGATAATTGATTAAACAGTGACCGTGTACTTTATTTTTTTTTGATTTTAAAAAGGTTAAACAGTTTAACCATGTACCTTACTTTTGATTTTTAATTGATAAATTTATATAAAATTTGATAATATTAATTAATTATGGTAATTATTCATTCCTGTATTTGTTCGAATAATCTCTGATATCTTCATGAACTCTTTTCTTAAATGCATACTTTTTGCTTGTTTCAGACTCTTCCTGAGCAAACAGAATTTGAAATTTTTCCTCAAATTTTTTTTTCGAAATTTATTATTCAAAATTGCTTTTTATCTGTTTACATTTAAAGCTATTGAAATTATATGTTAAACTTGGAGGATGGTTTTGTAAAAGATATTAGAAGTTTTTCTATCAATTTCATCTCACTTTACTCTTAATTCTGAAAATATCACCGATTGAACAAATGCAAATGAAAAGTGGAAAATTTTAAAAATTATGTGCGCTGTTTGCGTCCCAAATGAAAATGCAATATTTTTGAGAATCAAATCTTAAAAATTTTTTGTTTTATATAGATTTTAAATGAAATCCACCGACCAGAAAGATGCAAAAAACGGAGAAGATTGATTGATATCACTTAAATCAAAATATGGTAATTAATTAAGAAGTGTTCTTTCATTTTCATTCAGGTTAATATTTTCACCTACTGAATTTGTGACCTTCTTTTAGTTCATTTCATTTTCGTGGTATTTGCGGACCCATTTGCTTTGAAATTTGAAATCGTTTTTTTTTATTTTATTGTGTTCATCTTTTAAGGAACAATATTTTTAGGGTGGGGATAAAATGAATGGAAGGAAGCATTGTTCAGGTTGGCAATTAAAAAAGACGGATCATTTCTTTAATTTTCATCTCTTTCATAGCTTTTTTCAGAATGTTAATTGAAGAAATGAACTGCTCTGAACATTTGATAGAAATGATAGTGGCAATGGGTTATAAATAAAGCAACCCGAAAACAAGTTTTCCTATCGCAAATTGATTAAATTGTTTTAATTCCGTATATAACAACAAATTTTGATTTTTAATTTGAAAGTACTAGTCTGTTATTTCATAAGATTCGTGATAATTTTTAACATTTTAACGAAGTGCTCTTAAACTTTCAAGTTTGCATTACTCATTTATCAAAACTCAGGTGTAAATTAAATAAACGAAGTAAAAATTGAAGTTCTTTTTTTTTATTTTTAAAAAAATAAAATATTTAGATTCATATGGAATAGACGAAAGATTATAATTTATTTAATTAGATCAAAATATCTGAAGTTAATTTTGATAGTTTTAATTATCTATCATATACTATTTCGAATTTAAAGTTGATGCACTCGAAGATATCAGCAGCTTTATCAAAATTTATTTCTTTATATTCAATTTGAAGTAACGGATAGAGTACAAAGATTAAATAGTTAAAAAAAGAAGTTCTTTGTAATTAATTTGAAATAACTCAATCTCGGATTTTATTTCAAAATTAATTAAACGAAAAAATGGACAAATGAAGCTCAAATTTGATGCTTAATTATAGCTTCTTACTGTCATGCTATGATATCTATACCGTATAAAATCATTTTTACATCACATCATCAAATATTTCAATATAAGCAATTCGGGAAAAAAAGATGCAAAAATGGAGAGAGAGAGAGAGAGAGAGAGTGATTGAGTGAAGGAAAGAGACAGATATAAGGAACGGAGAAATATTTTGTTCGGAATGAGTAATGGAAAGGAGAAAAATGCTCTGTACCTATTTTCATTAATTCTGGCAGATCAAGTGGGGACGAAAAAAGAGAATGAAGTTTTAAAAAATAAAAAATTTCAGTTAGAGAATGAAAATAGAGTATGATATTTGAAGAGAGCATGAAAATTTTGACGTGACGAGTTTAAATCAACGATCTCGATCTCTGTATTGTAAATGTGGGTGTCAGGGCGGTAACATCAAAGGATTTTTCTTTTTTTTGAAAGAATGAACTGGATGAACAGTTCCGCTCTCCGAGATTCGGCGAGTTTCTTGGGTCTCTCTTTCAATTTCCACTACCAACCACCTTTATTTCTATCACCCAAAATGAAAGAAACGCATTGATTGATGTGTTAAACCAAGAAAAAAAAGATAAAGAAAAGAGAAGGGGAGAAGAAAAACAAGGGTGAAGTCAATTAGTTCCAGTCTGACAAACAAACAACCTGAAATTTCTCTCATTTCTTTCCGGAAAGTAATCACAAAAAAAGAGGGGGCAAAGAAAAGCTTATAATTATACATTTTCATTATAGTAACATTATACTTTTATGAATCCTTGCAAAAAAATGAATTCCAAAAGTGAGGTAAAGCTATGTGACGATAATTACTTTAATATGAGATTTATAGATAAAGTATATTTTGCTGATGTATTTATCTTTTAGAGTAAAAATTCTTACCTTTTTTGCTTATTATTTTTCATTCTCTCTTTCACTCTCTCTCTCGTTCTTTTTCTTTTAAACTATTTTTCGGAAAACATTTTTATTAAACTATGTAGCATAACTATGTTTAAGTTATATGATCCAGGTTTAAATCTACTTGTGTTGAAGTGTACACGTTAAGTTTAAGTACATCTGCACTTACATGAGTCATTCTTATATATATCTGTGTTTAACTTATATAGATCAAACGTAAGTATGATTGTGCTTAAATTTTATAAGCTAAACCTCAGTATATATCAGTATAGATAGCTATGTTTAAATTGTATGAAGGAGGGAGAAGAATAAAAGAGTATATGGTTCATTTTTTTCCAATTTTCCTTGAAATATATAATGAAATTTCAAATAACTCTTGCAGCTTATATTATTTTTGTTTACTTTGATGTATTAAAAACTTTTGATGGAAATTTTTCCATTTTCTTAAAAAAACTGGCAAAATTTCTTTAATTTTAGAACTAAAGAAGTGGTTTTGAGAAAGACAAAATATAAAAAAAATTAAAACGATTTAAATGGTTAAGTTGTTGCATTGGATCAAAAGATTATTTCTGGTTCCAAGGATTAACTTCCAACATCGTTGTATTCTTTGTTGTAACATTGATTTTTAAATTTTACTCTTTAGAAGTTCTGTCATTGAAAAAGTTGGATAAATTATTTATTTTTTAATAAGAACAGACTGATTTATTTAGTTGAACATTCAGTTTTTTTGGTCTTTAATTTTTTTAAAAATTATTAAAACTCATAGATCAAAAAGTTTCTCATTCCTTTGCTTTTACTATTTTTTTACTTTCGAATTTCGAATTATTAGAATAGATTTGATAAAATTTGAAGATTTCCAATTAAAAAAAAAATTGCCATCAAGTTTTTGCCAATTGTTTTTTATGATTGCATATTGAAATTTTTTTTCCAATTTAATTTTTATGAAAGTTTTTATTTGCTCATAGCTATCATTGTCGTTATGAACTTCTTTTTTGAATATGAATGTATATTTAGTTTTATTTCAGAAAAAATTTTTTTAAAAATGTAGTTTATCATTTTATTTTCATTTTAATTTTTCATTCATTTCAAAAAATTTTTTCATATAATTTCGTCATAAAGTGCTTTTTGCAAAAATGCTAAGCAACTTTATGCATAATATTTTTAATGTCTACTATTTCTTAATTTGAAATCTATATATTTTGAAAATTTCAATTAAATATTACAAATATTTTGATTTATTTAGCTTTTAATAGATCGATGATAGCTGAAAATGAATTAAAGTACCTGTTGGATTAAATTAAATGGCCTAAAGATGATTAAATAGTATGTACTTTATTTTTAGCCTGTTAGCCATTAATTTAGATGTAAACGTATTTTATTCTTTCCATTTTTTGAATAAAAAGATTTCTTCTTGACAGGCGTCAAATTACACGGTCAAAAAAAATCGCAACGTTTGGGGTTATGCATACGTATCATTTGCATAATGAAAGGCTTTATTTTTGGGATTCTTTTGATAATATCCGATACAATGGTAGCCGAATTTGCATATGGAAAGTTCATCCTTCGATATATGATGATCCGCGATGACAAACTGTATAAATGGGCAAACAAAGAGAAAAGGGACAGAAAAGAAATTTGAAGATGTTTAACCTTTGATATTTTTTTAGCTTCAAATGTTTTTTTCGAAATTCCTTCCTTCCTCTCTCTCTTTTCAACTGCTTGTTCTTTTTTTCTTTCCCCGATAACCCAGAAACAACAAGTGTTTATAGAGAACGAAAAAAAAGTGTTTTTCTTGTTTTCTAATTTGAAGACAAAGTTGATAATACATTAACAGTTGCTAATGAATTTTGCTTTGATTGAATGAATGAAGAAGGACAATTCAGTGAAAAATAATGAAAAGAATTTTTTAAATGTTTGAAATTTTTCGTCAAAAATGATAAGTTAACAATATTGCAAGTGATAAATGATAAATAATAAGCTCCACCAGTTTTTCTCATTTATTTACATCTGATCATTTATTCAATTGAATTTTAATAATTTATTGTAAAATCATTTTAAAAATTTATCATTAACGGATAATATTATTGTTATTCAAAAATTTTATTCTTCCATGTATTGTAGCATCATTCAAAGCTCTTTTTTTCCTTTCATAAATAAAAATACCGATGATGAGAGTGATACCGTAGTATTTGAAAATAGTTGCATCATAGATAATGAATGAATAATAATGATTGTTTATCGAAGCGTGCAAATGGCAGCTGTAGTATGAATGACGCATTTGTTGCATAAACAATTTAATTTGATTTGCTTGAATTCAATTGATTATTTGAAGTGATCAGGAAGAT